TTCTTTTCCAACACGACTCGTCGGCCGGCAGAACCATTGGATTCACAGATGTCTATACTAGTACTAAATCGCTAACTTTAGGCTTTGACGTATGGAAAAACTGAGGCTGGCAGAATTTCCGGTTTCGGCCATGACACCCTACAACAAAATGGCCGCTCAACAACTGCTTAACAACTGCTCAACAACTGCTTAGCAACTGCTCAACAACTGCTCAACAACTGCTCAACAACTGCTCGGCATCTTTCAAGAATTTTTACAATATTATCAATTTGTATCACCACGCCGGGTATCACATGTGCATACGCACGTGCAGATATAAGGCCATCACACACAAAATGACATAACTGCATATGCATAGCATAAGACCGTCTTGACCAATGAACGTGCTATGTAAATCAATATGGCACCTTTATGCTAGATGTTCATTGGTCGAGACGGTCTTATGCTATGCATATGCAGTTATGTCATTTTGTGTGTGAGGGCCTTTAGCCGTTCAGTGAGTGGCGAGTCACTCTCATTACTGCTCACTGTGATTGGTCGATTTGCTTACGATTACGACTAAACTTTTTTACGTGTAATGACCTTAATTCGTGTTGAACTTGACCCCAAAATTTATGTACCAAATTCTCGCGCATGCGTAACGTTAGTAGGATAGCAACACGTTTTTAATTGGTTTTAATTCTTACATGTGAGAGAGAAACAAGCCTATCAAAGATTCCTTTCTCTTTATTCCTTTCCGTAAATTTTCAACACTCTTCGAACAATATGAGCAGTCTAGTATTTACTATGTATGGAAGTAAACATTGGCAACCATCTTGCTGCATTTTGGCGGGAATTGAATTATGCATCAATCAAAATGCGTCATAAACTATTACACAAAAGATGGGAACTCCCGCTGCTTATTAATTTATTCTGATATCTATTCACAGATATCAAAATGGCGTAACCAATCAAAAATTCGCTAACTTTCTCTTTTTCATTAGCGTCAGTTGGCTTGTCAGAGAACCGACTTTGCTTTCTGTCCAATTATTTGATATGTCCATGGAAAACAGGCGGGTGCATCATATGTGGGTGTAAAGTTTCGGAACAACCCCTGCGTTGCTTTGCGTATAGGGAGACAACAGGAGACAATACAAAATTTCCGTTGCGAAAAACTTTTCTGGTTCCCGTTTGTTTACGCGTCGTGTTGTATCACGTGCGTACGTGCGTGCGTGCATGCCATTGCCGTGCCGTGCTGCGAAATCCGATCCGTTCCCCGTATGTAGAAACAGCATGCCTAGCAAAAAGAAAAAATACAACGCTCGTTTTCCAGCGGTAAGCAAATGCTGAACATCTTTTTCTGTCATTGCGGAACACATCGGCAGTAAAAATAAAGTACCGTAGAAATGGCATATCTGTTCATCACATTGACTTGCGTCTTTAATGGTGAACACGTAATGATTGGCGTTATTCAGAAAAAATGCACAGCGAGCAAAATCGAGGCAGAAGTTAACATAATCTAATCTCGCGTATTTATTTGTCAGGGTCGTATCAAGAAGATTATGCAGACAGACGAAGAAGTTGGAAAAGTCGCCCAGGCAGTGCCAATTATAATCTATATCCTTTCTTGATTATCTTCTTTTTATATGTTTTCGTCTCTTGCAAGCACTTGATTTATATAAGACTTATATAAATTTGATATAAGTTGTCTAAGATACATTATTATACATTTTCTATATCTACAGTTTTTTCCTTAACAAGGCTTACCTAGGACACTGGAATTATTTGTACACTCTTTGCTGACCAAGACTATGCAGATTACAAATGCCAAAAATGCTAAGACTCTAAGTCCAACACATATGTGAGTAAACATTTGAGATTGAATGTTATATGTATAAAGCAAACTTTTATGAATTGGTTTATTTTGAATTAGTAACTGTTGAAAGATACAATTAATCTGTCTAAAATAGATTTGAAATGATAGATAGCAACAGAGTTTTTGTTTTTTTTTTATATATTTATAAATAAGCATTTTGTTGAAAAAATAGAAACTTGGTAGACTTAATGTAAAATAAAACCTTTATCTGCAAGGTATATTTGTTTATAGGAAACAATGTATTCTATCAGAAAGTAGATTCGACTTTCTAAAAGATTTAGTCAAATCTCTGCCTGATGTATCGGGACTTGATGATGAAGTACCTATGTCACCAGAGACTTCTATCTCAGGAACCAATTCATCAAACACAGCTACAACATGTCCGATTGCGACACAGCATTCTAATCCAGTAGGGTAAGTTAATCAAAGCTTTACCTTTTCTAAAAACTTACCTAATTTATCACAATTCGTTATTTTTGCAGATATCAGAAGCAACTGGGATTACCAGGTAGCATTGAAGCTATTGCAAATCATAAGATTACGAAAGATAATGGATCTACTACAGTTCAAAGCAATTCAAACTCTGCTAATCAAAAGGACGCGTTGACAGCAGGAGGGCACTCACAGATTCCAGAGTTCCAGATATCTGTACCTACATCCTTGCAAATTAATCAACTAAACTTTTATACTGAAGTCAATCCAAGTGCAAGCAATCAACCGACATCAAACTTCACTTGCACTGGCGACATCGACGAAGATTACGATACATAGTAATTTCACAAGATCTAGGAAGTTGAAACTTATCTTGTTGTACGTGTGACGCATGATTAGCTAACGATTAGCGACTATGTGCTCATGCACGGATCAAAAGCATCTATCAATTGCTCATATCACCTGTAAATTAGCGTCGTTTGGTCGAATCGAAGCAATTCTTTATTTGCTAATACGGGATGTTCCAGAACTGCGTGAATAGTTGTGGGATTATTTAATATTAAAAAAATTTTATTTTTTTATTTATTTTAAGCGGATATATTCAATATATTTGTTGTCGATTTTGTACATTATCTAGAAGCCAACAGTATTTTCCAGTTACTTTGTTAAAAACGGCAAATTATATTAAAATATACTTATAAAAGAAAATTAGCTCATCAAAAATTAGTAATAATTACAGACAAATCGATTTTTTTCTCAAGTATTGGAAATATAAATTAAATTTTCCATCATGTGCAAGAAAATGCTAATCGGTATTCCTTTTTGAGAAATTATCACAGGCTGCCAATTGACATTATCGGCAACGAATATGTTAAAAGTTTAATACGCGTTTCAGGATATAAAATACTTTGTTCCTGAAAATTATAAATTGCTACAAATAAATGATGTCTCATAATCATTATTTATAAATATGTTTATGTTGGCGTCTTCTACGCTACTCTGTACACAGTTACGTAAACTATCATGAGTTATGTCAAATTTAGTTTTTTTTATTAATTGAAGTAACATTCGTATATAGGTTGTATAATTTCTAACATGAAATAAAACTTTTATATTTATGTTAAACATTGAGCGATTTTATCGGTAGCGTTTGATGTGGTATATGTGCTCACAAGACATATTCTGTAATCAATGTATCTAATTGTAAAGTTTCTGACTTAATAGGTTTGTTCGACAAACATGTTGTTTGTATGAACACGATCGAGTCGTACATTTTTTGTCCTAAAACACATTCAGACAAAGATACGTAGAAAAAAATAAGGAAAAAACTAATCTGTAAACATTCTTGCATTTGATCGATGCGATTAATTATACATATATATATATAATTTATATATTTGATGTGTATAGTGTAATGTTATTATTTTTTTCTCCTTTTTTTTACAATTTTGTGTATTTGACAACCGCGGCAAATTAATTCTATTTCAGATAATATAAAAAAATAACACAATTAAGAAGCTAGTAGTTCTGTTAGATTGTAAAATCAAGAGTGTCGATATAATAAATAAGCATGTAAAAAAACATTTATAGGGATCAGAATGTTATGCATATATAAGTTGGCTACACACGGATGAGAAAAAGACCTAGAACCGTTCCTTTCAGTTTACCACGTGTTTAATCACCAGCTGGTATCAAAATTTTTCAATAATTAGAATATAGAGTATAACTGTATTATATGAGACAATTCCGTTTACAATTGAGCAAATCAATTTGATAAATTTCCTGTTAATCCGTTAACATTGCTAACATTTTGCTTACTGGGTTTATAATTGAAGCTGAAATTGTAGTGATAGAATTCTCTTTCGGCTTTTATTAGATCAATAACATAAAGAAAAACAAAAACGAAAAAGCATAATGATGCGTCAAACACAGTACATACAATAATTTATGTTTAATTTATTAAAACAAAAAAGTAAACCTAGATACGGAAGCAATGCATACGTACGTGCGATAAAGCCACACATACACGTGTCTCAGTATTGAAGTTTAAACAGGATATTATTCCTCGATAGGGTATCGCTTAAACGTGCAGTCTTCACAATGCAACATCCATGCGTCCTTTCCCCGCTTCTTCGCGGCGGATTTAAAATAAAAATCTTTTAATAATACGTGTATATAATATGTCACATAAATAGATCTATGTATATTATTTTATATGTTACACGACTGAAGAAAGCACATTTCTCAAAAGTGTATACACGACAATGATGTTGTTAGTTTGTTTGACGACGATCGAAATGATGTTTTCTATACTTAACGAAACGAGTACGAAGCACTATACATGTCTGTAGAAACGCACACGTTAGATGTATGCATGACAACACGATTACGACCATAAATGCCAATCATGTTGAACGCAAAGATACGTTTAAGTAATAAATTAAGATCGATTGACCACACATATTTTATATTTTTCACACATCTCTTCTTTCAGTTCATAATTCCACTACATATTCTGGAATAAAGAGCTTACGCCATTTACATTGCGATTTTTATTCGAACGAAACAATTAGTACAATTGATACAATTGATACAATTGAGTGTATGTATAAATATTACATTTTTCCTTGATATTCTATCCTTTTGTATTAAAAGAGATTATAAAAAGTTATTTATTACTTATGTTATTTATCACTTTTGTATTATTTTTGTACTGTTCATGACAGAGTTCAGATTCTCTCGCGTCTTTAAAGATCGCATAAAGAAAGATTACGCTAGAAAAATAAGAAATTTATCGCTCGGGGTTAAAAAGTTACAAGTTATTTATTTCACTGTTTTGTATTATTTTTACACTGTCCAGGACAAAGAGGTTCAGATTCTCTTGTATTTTTAAGGATCGCATAAAAAAGGTCACGCTTTACAAATGGCAAATTTATTATTCGGGATTAAAAAGTTACTTTTTGCGAGAGGTGCTTGGATCCTATGCTTGACGTAAAAAATAACTTCTTAATCTCGAATAGTAATTTGCCATTTTTCTATCGCATAAGAAGTTACTTTTTACGTAAAACATAAGATACAAATGCCTCTCGCAACAAGTAATTTCTTAATCCCGAATAATGATTTGCCATTTTTCTAACGTGATCTTTTTCATGCAATCTTTAAAGATACAAAAGAATCTGAATTTTGTCATCAAAAGTATAAAACTGATACTATATATATATATATATATACAAAGTGAAATAAATAATTTTACTAGGTGCGCAACTAAGTTTTCCGGTTTTTTAT